TGTGGAAGAGATTAAAAGCTTAATCTTAGGGGAGTGCCATGATACTGAAGGCCATTTTGGCTGGAAGAAAACTTATGCGGGCCTATTGCGTTCCTACACATGGTCTCGCATGAAAGCCGACTGCATTGCATATGTGCAAGGTTGTTAAGTGTGCCAAACAAACAAGAGCACCACTCAACCTCCCCTTGGACTACTAAAGCCCTTGCCAATTCCAACAGGTCCAGGAGACTCCGTATCCATTGATTTTATGGATACCAAGGTGAAGAGCAGGAATGGAAAAACGCAAGTCATGGTTATCGTTGACAAATTTAGTAAGTACGCTGTATTCGTAGCGTTATCAGCGGAAGCAAAGACCGAATTAGTAATCCAAGAATTCTTTAACCATTGGGTAAAGGGTTATGGACATCCCTTAACGATTGTGAGTGACAGAGATTCACGATTCATGAGTGAACAATGGCAACAACTCATGAATGTCTATGGCTCTAAGTTAACTATGTCATTGGGTAGACACCCTGAGACAAACGGCCAGACTAAGCAAATGAATAAGATTTTGCAACAGACATTGCGCATGTACATCTGTCCCACAAATTGACTGGGATGAACATTTGCCCAAAGTTGCTAGTGCCTATAACAACTCTGTTCACCTATCTACATGCAGGACTCCAATTGAACTGCGTTTGGGATGGCGGCCCCGTAGACGTATTGATTGCTTAAATCCGGATGAAGCACATAAGCTTCCTCTAGGGACACAAGTGAGTTTGCAATACAGTTATCAACGAGATATTGAAAAGGTGAAGACCATCTCAATTCGCTATAGGTGATTTCGTATGGGTTAAATCCAAAGAGTTTGCTCCTGAGGAAAACATTTCTCAGAAGTTACTACCCGCCTACAGAGGACCTTGGCAAATTCTTGATGTGATTGGAGAGGTGGATGAACCTTCTTATGTATTTGAGATGCATACGTATCCGGTGTTTCACGCCTCAAAGCTTCTACCTTGCGTGACAAATGAGTTGTTTCCCAGTCGCAGATGGGCGACACCTCCTAGTATGGATGGGAAATACGATGTGGATAAGATTGTTGTTGAGAGCACTTTCCAAACCGGACGAAGAGGCAGACCTCAGCGGCAATATAAAGTAAGATTCGCCTATCAAGACCCAAGTGAAGATCGCTGGTTTACAAGAGAAGATTTACTTGAGTCTGCACCTCACATTGTATCTGCATATGARAAAGCTAAAAGAGGAATAAATRTTATTGATAGATGAAGKTTTTYTYAGAGGACTTCGAATCTAGGCCGGCGAGAGTAAAAGGGCCTTTACCCGATTCAGCCCCTGTTTGACAAAAGCAACATATTGGGGTCCCTCGCCCAGAGCGCAATTCGTGAAAGCAGATCAAAAGACATGTTCTCTGGGTCAAAGGTCACATCCTGGCTAAAGTAAAGACAATGTCAAAGGTCATGGTTGAGCCCTGGACGAACAGTCACCATGTTTAGATTTGGAGGTCACATCTGTTCGCCAGGGGCAATGCAAGTCATGTCTATTCAAACAAGGGATGTGTCTGTTCGTGCAGAAGGAGTGTCTGTTCGTGCAGAAGGAGTGTCTGTTCGTGCATTGGGTGTGCCTGTCCAGCAGAAGTCAAAGAGTTAAGTTCAAGTCCGTATTCGAATCAGAAAGAAAGTCGAGATTCAGATTGGGAGTCCAAAATCAAGGCCTAAAGGCCGCAGCAGCAGCAACCCCTGAAGGAAAGGGATTTGGGACGCATACACAGAGGCTGGG